TCACTTAACCCTATTTGCCTGTTTCCTCATCTGAAAATGAACTGGAGAAGGAAATGGCAAACCAATCCCATATCTTTGCCAAGAAAACCCCAAATAGAGACACAAAAAGTCAGACATGACTGAAACAACTCAGCAACAACAACAAAATGTATTAGGAGCTGTTCTAGGTGATAAAAATACAAAAAAAAGAGTGAGATAGTTCCTACCTGCCCTAAAAGAACTTACCTTCTATTAGGTGTATTCGATGAGTTCATGGATTAATGAGTACAAGATATATATAAAAAAGGTGATTGTCAGGGGAATAAAACCTGAAGGACTCAAGAAAGGCCACTTGAAAGAGGAATCTCTTGAGTTGAGCATTAAAAAGAGCTAGGGGTTCCAAGAGGTGGTGGTAAGGAGGGAGAGCATTCCAGAAATGGGAACTCTCCAGTGTAAAAGCACAAAGGGAAAAGGAGAGGGGGAAGATCTCATGTTATGTATAAAGAACAGTAAGTCAGTGGGTTTGATTGAAGCATAAAGTACATGAGAGGAGTAATGTGTAATCAACATGGAAAGCTAGGTTGGAGTTGTGAAGGGCTTAATTGCTTGAAAAAAGAAGTTTATAGTTAATCCTAATGAGATAAAATAGCATCTCTTTAATTGGAGATGCTGATACATGGGATCTATGTCATTTATGGGAGAAGCAATTGTGCCCTAGACACTTACTAGATGTGTGACCAGGGTTCTGCTGATAAATATTCAACAACCAGCTCTCTGAAAACACAAGATAAACTTTTCATTTTAATCTATATTATTAACATTTTCTCCACAACTTTCTGAAGTCTAGATAAATCAAGTCCTGATTTGTAGCATTTGCCAGTTTCCAAAGTATAAATGATCACACTGAAAATTTAACAATCTACTCTCTACAAGCAGGCTCCAGTGCACCCCTATGTGGGACTTTGGGCAACTCATTTAACCCTTTTTGTACTTAGTTGCCTCATTTTTAAAATGAGAAGGTTGAACTAGAAGATCTCTATGGTCCCTTCCAGTTCTAAATCTATGATCTCATCCTGTGGACTTTAAATGGGTGCACTAAACCATGTATAAATCCTGGAAAGGAGGGCTACTGACACTTATAACTTTAGGGTGAGTGGTCAGAAGCAGGATTCAAATCCAGGTTTTCTTGATTCCAAGTCTGGTACTCTTTCCATTATACATGAATTTTGGTGGTGGGGGTGGGGGCATTAAATCTGGGAATACAAATAAGAAAAAGAAAAACAGTCCCTGACCTCAAGGAGTTTACAATCCAATGGGTGAAGACAACACACAAAAGGAAGCTGGAAAAACTGGGATGGGGGTGACCAGGGAATAGACAGCACATCATGTTCCTTCGGGTTCAAACCAAGCAGAGTTGCATATGTAAAGTGGAAAGCTGGTGGAGAGTTCAGATCCAGCCCTCTCTAAGGAAAAACTTTGGGAGGAGTTTAATGTTCCACCCTCCAGCCCTCCAGTCAGAGGGGAGAGGAGGATGAGGGAATTGGGAAGCTTTCTTGATTCTCCTCCCCATCCCCTTCCCCCACTCTCCTCTCTACTACTCTTTTGGTCTCTGTGGAAGGTGGGCTCAGACTTCATACTGTTTCAAAATGGTATTAGTACTAAGTTCGTATCCAATTGTAGCATCTCTGTTGAACAAGATCCTGCCTCTGCTCCTGAGGCACTGGGTTCCAAAGGTTGTTTCTCACTCCTTGGAGCATTGATGCTGGACTGGCTACAAAACCGGTCTTGGGCACTACTCTCAGACCTCCATCTCTGACCTATTTCAGTTACAATGAAATAATAAATGCCAAGGCAAAGAACTGAGACTCATACTCATGGGTCACATGCTGGTCTCATATGGGAAGGGCCTGAAGCTTCTACTCCTACACTATCATTTATCTTCTCTCCTTGGAAAGCCACTGGATAGAAAGAAGTCAAACTGAGAGAAGGGATAGGTTATGGTTAAGCAGTACCTTTTAAATGCACCCCATTTGGCTATGCAGGCAATCAAATGGTTAGCCTAATGGAACTGGTTGCAGAATGTTTTTGTTTGTCCTTTTTTCTTGAAGAAGACCATAACATCAGGAAGATGATGCCATAACTTGCAAGTGAATTGGATTGAAGTGAGGGAAGGCTGTGCCAAGTCACTAGCCTCACTTTCTCCTCCAGAGCCGTCTGGGTCCAGTGGCAAGATATAGATCAAGACAATTGGAGATGGCCCCCTGCAGAATGTCCATGTATATCCTCCAAAGTCCACATGGGGATTGCATTTGCTGAGTACTTTGCACAAGCTTATAAGGAGTGTGGGTTCATGGGCCAGTCATGCATTTAACTAGTTTCCAGGAAGTCTGTTACTTGAATAAAGTTTATCATTTCCTCTTCTAAGCTATTTATTCTCCTAACTCTTCCTTTATGAGCTTTAATTTAATTTTTTATCCCTTGCTCCATTTTTTCCCTAGATAACCATGTAGTACTTATGAATAGTTTATTTTTCTTCAATTCTCTGTTGCAATTGTTACCAAGCCACCCTTTCCTTTTTTTGGGAGATCTCTAGTTTCACAGTGATTTTTGGTAGTGGTTGTTGTCTTTGGTTAACCCATCTCTCTAGATTTAGTACCTGAATTGATACTAAGGCCAAGGCCAATCTCCATTCCCTCTCCCTGCTCCCAACTTCCCTCCTGCACTTTTGGATAGGTTTTTCAGTTCTGCTTGGTCTCACCTTGGGTCAACTGGGTTTCTGTACTAACCTCCTCTAGGGTTAGGCATGACTCCCCCACAATCTTTGAGGTTCAGAGTTCTAGATACTCAGGGCCCATCTTAGAAAAAGTGCTCAGAATTCTGGTATGTTGGGGTCTAGGCCACACTTGCAGCTTTCTGGGGCTTCCAAAGGCTTTTTGTTTCAGGTGGATTTACAACTTCCCTGGGGATTTCTCATGGGAGCATGCTATTATCAATGCCTCTGGACAAGCTATTGCCAGTATTTTTTCTTACACTTTAAAAAAATGTGTTATCTGAAATACTGATCTATGGCTTCTCTCCTCCCTTCCTTTCCCCTTACAGTTCTGTTTGCTTCTGTGTAGCCCAGGTATCTCTGTTTACTGCACACAATGCATGGGGCAGCTGCACTTTGGGCAGCTTTTCTGTTAATCACTGTTGACCTCAATGGAAAATTAAAACGGGCCACAAGTGTCTTTGACTCTTCTATGATGAGTACTGCTGTGAGACCACAGTCTTGTTTGCTTGCACTGGGGCTGGCTTTGATAGGGATCTCCTTTCCTATTGCCCGTGAGCTGTTGTCTGACTTTCTGTGCACTTCTGAAATGGAAGAAATCACTTACTGTAGTTTCTCACTAAATTTCTTGAGCATTATTTGATCTGATGTGAGTTTGAGGGGTGTGTGTGTGTGTGTGTGTGTGTGTGTATGTGTGTAGTAAATACAAGGGAGCTAGACAACCTTTCTCCATTCAAGCAGCCCTATTGGACAGAAGTTTATCAACCAATACATTTGCATAATCTTCATTGTTTCTGCCTAGGCCAACACAATGGACATTTACCCAATAATCACAAAACAGTTCTGGGGTTCAGAGTTCCCCTGTTTTTATCTCTAAAGTTCTCCTGTGGATATTATGCAATTGAGCAGCCACACACTATGGAAAAGCCTGAATTAACAAAGCCTTAAATATGAAGCAGGGACTTATAACTCCTATTATATGCTTCTACAGTAGCAATATGTAGAACAAGAAGTCATGAAACACTTGGAGGGCAGGCAAACAACCATTTAATATTCACCTTGGCTCTGTACAGTACACACAAGTCCCACAAGGTTCTTATCCTCTAGTGAGCCAGGCCAGCAGGAAGCATATCCTTCTGTTGGAGATCATCTACAAGAAGAATGTAGTTGCAGGTGCCTCCTGCAGCTTCTAGTCAGCTCTAACTGAGGAAAAGGACCAGATATTCCCACCCTGGGGAACTGAGAAGGTTGCCTCTAAGGCTGGAGATATCTGTCTCATAATCACTGTTTGGTCACCTATGTTAGGGGAAAGAAACAAAATAGAAGAACAAGGCAGAGGCAAAAGGCTCTGACTAGTCTGGCCAGCACACGTGTTCAAAGACTGACAGAGATTGGAGAATATAAGAGGGAGAGGTGAAGAGGGAGAAAATTCCAGGCATGGGGGACAGCCAGAGAAAATGTCTGGAGTCTGTAGATGGTGAGTCTTGTTCAAGCGGGAGCTAGAAACACCAGTGTCACTAGGTCATAGAATACATGTGGGGATGTAAGGTCTAAGATTAAAAAGGTAGGGGGCTATGTCAGATTATGAAAGGCTTTGAATATCAAACAGAGGAGTTAATGTCTGATATTGGAGATGACAATAGAAAGACAGAGTCAGAGGGACACGGAGAGAGACAGAGACAGAAAGAGAGAGAGAGAGAGAGAGAGAGAGAGAGAGAGAGAGAGAGAGAGAGAGAGAGAGAGAAGAGAGAAGAAGAGAGAGAGAGAGAGAGAGAGAGAGAAAGAGAGAGAGAGAGAGAGAGAGAGAGAGAGAGAGAGAGAGAGAGAGAGAGAGAGAGAGAGAGAGAGAGAGAGAGAGAGAGAGAGAGAGAGAGAAAGAGAGAGAGAGAGAAGGGTATGTGAAAAATATAAAATATTTAGTCTCTCTGTTCTGCATTGGTACCAATTTTTCAGTATTGTGTTTGACAGCTTTTTTTTTTGCCTCTAGCAAAGAAATTAACACTGTTTTAAGGCCAGTGTAATTGGCTGTATTAAAAAACCACTGAACATATAGATGATTTGTTTAGTGGTCCTAGTAGGACTGCTTTGTACCTGTTTTGTGTCCTTATTTCCCTTTGGGATTCTTGACCTTTTGTTCCTGCAGATGAATTTCATTTTTATTTTATCTAGTTCTCTAAAATGCCACTTTCCTAGTTTAATTGGCATGACACTAAAGTTGTAAATTAAATTTAGGTAGAATCTCCAGACATACCTGCTCAGCACACTTATGGATGTTGGCCTGTGCCTTGCTCATCCCCAAACCAAAGAAGATGCTCCAGGCTCTGTAATGGCAACTGAAGGAGGTTATTCAAATACCACTGGGGCTGGGAGTCAGCCACATGGTCATAGTTATGCTGGGGCAAGTCCTTCTCTTCACACTCACTTCTGTTTTCCTCTCATGCTCCACCCTGTCCTCTCCACCCCAAGGTGGGGGATGGGCTTCTGATACCACTGCTCTCAGCTGCCTTTTTAAAGACTGCTCCATCATATCCACGCAGACAATCAACCCCGGATCACAGTTGCCTGGATCTAACTTCACCCCTTGAAACTTGTCCCATACTTGCTATTGTCTGCAAAATGTTTACCAGGAGACCTAATACTCTTGCCAGGGCCTACCTTTTGGGACTACTCTTCCACAATCTCTCAGGTATCTCTGTCCTCATCCTCTTCCTCCCCCGTTCCTGGACTTGTGAGTGGAGCTACACCTCCAATTAGCTTCCAGATATTCCTATTCTACTCTGTTCCCCATTCTTCCTTCTTCAATGGCCTGGGTATGTGGCTGAGAGTCTCCTTGCCCCCAGTTACTTGGGCTTTTCTCCTGAGCAGCCTGGGTGTGAGACTCAGCCTTTCATTAGCTTCCAGGTATCTCTATTCTGGTCCTCTTGCTTTTCTTTCCAGAGGGCTCAGTGTGGGGTTGACCTTCTTCTTCCTTGTGTCCTCTGCAGGGTCCTGGGCCCAGGTGCAGCTGGTGGAGACAGGAGGCAAACTGATGTATGAGGGCCAGGACTTGACCTTGACCTGTACAGTCTCAGGGTCCCTCCGCTTTAGTGACTTTTCCTTTTCCTGGCACTGGAGCCCATCTGGAAGCTCCAAGGAGTTTGTGGCCAGCATCACTGCTGGGATAGGTGACAAACAGGATTACAGGAGGGACATTCAGGATAGAGCCTTCATTTCCAGGAACAACGATGCCAGTAGAGTGTCACTGACTCTGCGCCATCTGCGGAAGGAGGACTCAGGCATTTACTACTGTGCGAGACTCACCGTGTTGAGGCCCAGGCCCAGGCCCTGACACAAAACCTGCACTCCCTGACACAGGACCAAGACTGGAGCTGTGAACATAGCTCCTGCCTCTTCTATGAACCCAGGCATGGGAAACCTCTTACTATCCACCCTGCTAATGTGCCTCTGCGTGTGTGTGGGTGTGTGTGTTTATAGACTAGGGCAGAGACAAGCTGTGTTTATTTGTCTTTCTAGCAGAAAAAAGAGATTCTCTCCTAGCCTTCACCACCTTTCCATACCTCTAATGGCTCTAGCTACTTGCCTTGTTCTTATTTGATGCCCCCCTTATCTACCAACCTTGGGTGAGTGCCAGGTTGGTTAGTATTGGCTAAGCTGACTTTGGCTTTTCCATACACCTGCAAATCCATTTCAGAATGTGCTGAATCAGTGACAGGCCCCTTGTTTCTGAAGAATCTACTGTAGTTAGAATATATGAGGGGCTAGGAAGGTGGTACAATGGATAGAGCATTGAGCTTGAAGTCAGGCAGACTCATTTTCCTGAATTCAAATCTGACCTCAGACACTTACAGGCTGTGTGACTCTGGGGAAGTCACTTAACCCTGTTTGCCTCAGTCCCTCATTTGTAAAATGAGCTGGAGAAGGAAATGGCAAATCACTCCAGTATCTTTGCCAAGAAAACCCCAAACGGTGTCATCAAGAGTTGGGCATGACTTAACAACAACAACAAACAACAGGAAGCCGGTGAACCAGGAGGGCAACTTTATAACACATTCATCTCTTTGGACCTGTAACATGAGGGGGCTGTGAATTCCAGCACAATCAGCCAGTGCCAATTTTAAAGAGAATTTGTATGCAAAACTTCAAGATACTGAAGACAGTCTTAAATTCTCTTGGTCTGGGATGAGTTAGAAACTTCCCTGTAAGTGTCAATACAGGGAGTCTTAGAGGACACTAGAGATCTCCTTTCAAGGAACCATGAGAAATCTCACATACTTATTGTCACAAGTGCCATCCCAATAATAATAATAGTGCCCAGAAATCAAGCATGCTTTTAGGTAGCTGACTAGTTCCTGAAGGATATATATTGCATTAGTAAGAGTAAGTCATAGGATAGAGCTATGGTGACCTGAATGAGTACACCTAGAGGGCTTGACCCTCAAATCTCCCCCTGGCCACTAGCTTTCAGGAAGGATATCTCTATCCTATAGCCCTTCAACAGTAACAGAGAATATAGGGAGCCTAAGGATGGTCACATTCTTCCAGGAAAAGTGTTGATTATCCAAAAGCTCCTAGGTAGGAAACATCCCAGAATTCCAACTAAGAGCACCAATAGTCAGGTCACCTCATTGACCTCATAAGTCCTGATGAATCAGAGACATGAAAGTGTAATAGGCATAAACTGGGGAAATGAAGAGCAAGGGAAGGTGTGAGGCTCAATAAAAGGCAATTGAGAGACAAAGATTGGCTGTGCAGTTCTCTCTCTCTCTCTCTCTCTCTCTGTATATATATATATATATATATACATATATATATATGTACATATATATATATATTTACATACACACATATGCACACACACCCCCATATATACATGGAGGCATTAAAAATGTTGAGATGGCATGCTAAAGCTTTACTAGAAGTATGGCTATAATATCCATCCTGGGAAGGAGTTTATCAGTCAATTAGTTAATTTATTCAGTACCTACTATATTCCAGGCACAGTGCTAAGTACTGGAGATATAAAAAGAGGCAAAAGACCCTGTTTTCAAGGAGTTCACGATCTAATGGCAGTGACAATATACAGAAACAAGCTGTCTACAGGATAAATAGGAAATAAAAGAGGGAAGGCACTAGAATTAAGAGGGATTGGGAAAGGCTTCCTGTAAAAGATGGGATTTTAGTTGGGACTTAAAAGAAGTCAGGGAAACCAGCAGGTGGAAATGAGGAGGGACATCTTTCCAGACATGGGGAATAGCCAGAGAAAATGCTTGGAGCCACGAGATGGAGTGTCGTGTTCATGGAGCACCAAGGAAGCCAGTATCACTGGACTGAAGAATACATGTACATTTCTGTTAGAACCTGAGCGTTGTGTTCCTTAGTTTATACAACTTCTCTAAGGAGTTTGTGCACTTGCAGTACAGCCTACACACTCTCTGTATGTACACATTATCTGTGGAACCTGTGTACCATCTGTGTAGATCTGTGATACCATTTTCAAGGAGTCTTTGAGTTCTCTTTAATGATGTAGGTGAAATTCTAAGTTGAGGTGGGGAACCTGTGGCCTCAAGGCCACATGTGGTTTTCTAGGTCCTCAAATGTGCCCTTTGACTGAATTCAAACTTCACAGAATATCTAAATTACACCTTATGTATGGTAGAAGGACCTCAGTGGAAGTTGTAATTGCTCTGTCAGCTTGTTTTAAGGCCATGTTGTTGGAGTACGTGAAAAAAGACATGGAACTGTTCATATGCTTTGACACAGTTGTCTCACTAATAGCCACGTACCCCGAAGAGGTCTATGACAAAAAGAAAGATCCTATGCAAAACAAACATTCCTAGTAGCACTCTTTCTGGTAGCTGAAAGAAGAGGAACATCCTAATATTTAACCCCATTCAAAAATGGAATGGACTGCCTTGGAAGGTAGCGGAAGGTCTTTAGGCAAGGCTTTATGACCATGTATCAGGTGGATTGTAGAGGGGATTCTTTTTCAGTTATGGATTGGATGGTCACTAAAGTAACTTCTAGCACTGAACATCTGGGATTCTGTTGTAAGGGATCAGAATGTGATTATTTTCCCATTTCAGCTGAATCAGTAATAGAATATAATCACATGTGATGATGTTTTATTGTGTGAAAAAGATACATTTACTCCTCAATCTAGGAGGAAAGTAACAAGTATTTATTAAATGCCTACTATGTGCCAGGCACTGTACTAAATACTTTACAAATACATCTTATTTGATCCTTACAGAAACCTTGTGAGCTGGGTGCTCTTATTATCTCCATTTTACAATTGAGGAAACTGAGGCAGACAGAGGTAAAATGACTTGCCAAGGGTCACCCAGCTAGTGTGCGTCTGAGGCTGGATTTGAACTTAGTTCATCTTGGTTCCAGGTCCATCACTTTCTCCACTGCACCACCAGTTGCCTTTTTGGTTGATATATGCCATGTGCCTTACTACCATCATGCTCTAAGTATCAGCCCATTTTTCTTATGGCCTCCGTTGTTTCGAGAGCGTGCATTGGGCTTATGCAGGGAATATTGTGTGGCAACTGTTCATATTATGTCATCTTACTGCACGCCTTTGGCAAGAGCTAATCCCTTGCTTGCCCAAACTTTTTGAGAAAGCCATATATACTACGTAGCTTCATTTTCTCTCACGTGTTTCCAAATCTCTGTAATCTGGCTTCTGATACCATTCAACTGAAACTGCTCTTTCTAAAGTTAGCAAGGATCTCTTAATTGCCAATTTTAATCACGATTTCTCAATCTTCATCCTTCTTGACCTCTTGGCAGTGTTTGCTACTCTTCTTCATACTCCTTCCTCTCTAGGTTTTTATTCTTATCCCCTCAACCAAATCCCCCAACATTCCACTCTAAGGCTACCTACCCCTTCCACTGTGCTCTCTGGAATGCCTGCTCCGTTGATCACAACTTGCCTTCATCTGAAACCTTTTTCTTTTTCACTCTTTCCATCTTGTTGCGTTCACTGAGATCTAGCTCCCTGCTAATGATGTAGCTTCCCTGTCTCCAGCTCTGGCTGTACTTTGACTCATTTCACAGACTTACTAGTTGAGATGGGGGACTTGGAATAGTCCTTGCTTGCCATTTCTACTCCCAGGCTCTCCCTCTACTACCGTTAATCAGTGACCTCTCCTCTTTGAGATTCACTCTGCTATAAGCACTTCTCCATACACTTCAGGGTCCTGTGAATCAGCTGTGAACACCTTTCTCAGACCCTGTCACACCTGGGGTTTAAGGTAGGCCATGTATCACTGTGTAGACTAAGTTGGAACTCACAGTGATGAAACCTCAGGAACACCTGGGGCAGAAACCAGTCAGTTTGTTGGAGGGGGTGAGGAGAGTATGTATGGGGAGCACACCTATACTTCATTCCCACTTAGGCACACACTAGCCACTTTCTTTCCCTTTTGACCCAGGTCACAGAGATGATGAGACTTTCTTGACCATAGGCTTATCATCTGTGGCCTGAGAACATTTGGCCCAAACAGTAACATCGCTTAGAAATAACCCTGAGGCAAGTCCTGGCTATGTTGGTTCCCCTACTGAGCTTAAATGGCCATTATTAGGTACAATTGAGGGTAGCTAACCAGAGGAATCCTAGTTCTTTTCCTGCCTCTGTGCTTGAACAAAGCTGGGATTTGACCACCCAAGGAGAAGAAAACCCTTAAGCATTTGAAGGACGGGCACAGGGGAGAGAAATTCGACTTTATTCTAAAGCTTGGCCTGGAGAGCGGAACTGGGAGTGATGAGGGGAAGTTTGAGGCAGGCAGGTTTGGGCTTCATGTAGGGAAGAACTTTTTAAACTATTAGAGTTGTCTCAAAGTGGAATGGGGTGCCTTGTGAGGGAATGAGTCCCTTACCCCTGGAGGTCTTAGAGCAAAGGATGGAGATGTTTAGGAGACTCCAATTTAGTGACATTTTCCATGTTTCTGCTTCTAGGATATTATTCACTCCCTCCCCTTTATTCCCACTTCTCCACTTTACTACCACAGTCAATTAGTACCTGCCTAGATTATTTTAATAACCTCCTACTAGGTCCTGCCTGCATTCTCTCATCTGTCTGATCCAGCCTGGACACCAATGCTAGATTAAGCTTCCTTGGGAGAAATTCAACAACATTTATTAAAAACTTACCGTGTGCCAGATACTACGCTGAGCACTAGGGAAAGAAAGGCCAAAAAAAAAGTTCCTGTTCTCAGGGAGCCCCACCCTGGTGTTACCACCCGCCTGGATTATTATAAAAGTCACTCCTCAGGTCTCCTTCCTTCCATTCTACGTAAGTTCAA